TTTGCTTAGCCCATCACTCGAGACCAAATACTCAGTGAACTTCCATATAAGCTTGGACGGTGGGTATGCGAATTTGGATGCACTTCGACAAGCAACAGATATTTCGCGGGCATCCCATTTACTGGGATCAATAACCCTGCAACACTCATCAATGAACGGTCGCACTTCTGGCAGGTTCTGGGCATCACTACAACGAACGACCATATGGAGAAGCATAGCGATCTCTGGAGGCTTGAAGTCCTGCAGTCGTGGTATTGCATGACTGAGAGTGGCCTTCATCAGTTTGAGCCCCTCTGCACCACGATGGTCCGCTAGCACTGTGATCGCTCCCCAGGCCGTTGTACTGACAGCCCGAGTACCGGGCTCGCTGGAGACCAGAACCCGGGACCAGGCAGTGCACAGAGAAGCAGCCAGGTCCTCAACCAACGACGAATACCGAAACTCATGGTTCATAGCCAGCTTGAAGGTTCCCAGCGCCCACAGTATGTTGGACACGTCAACCGCACTGCATGTGTCGTGCTTCACATAGGGGGTCATAGCCTCGAACAGCTCAACCACTCGTTCGGGGGACAACGGGGTCTCAGTGGTTTCGCTGTGGAACTTCGCTACCGCCCAGAAGGCTCCTGCCAAGTTCCTATTGTCCCACTCTCGGCATTTGAGACCTTTCAGCATAATACTCATAACCTTGTCGAAAACGATGCTGCCGTTCTCGCCTCGATGAGAGATTGTCGCAAGCTTCGCGACACGGCCAAGGGCAGCATTGATGACTTTCGGCATGAGCAGTCGATCCATCGGCTCATTGCTGAGGTGAAATAAGAGGTTGTCCACAGTTGGGGCGTTAGCCACTCTGTAGGTAAGAGATCCCATCGCCTGCCCTGTTGCCATCCTCATCCTTGGAAAGTGCTGTTGCATGGCTTGTTGGGAAATAAAAGCCTAGAAAACCACACTGGTGGATTGAGCCGACACAACAACGGCCTGTGAGAAATCGACAAGTTCACGAGCTGATGTGTTCATGCAGGCAATCAACCTCTACAGTCTATCAATTTACCTAACCTCAGCACGAGCCCGACGACCCAAACTTCATCCGACTGCTCTTGACCACTACTTAAACAACGGGTAATGTGCAGAGTATGTTCAAAAGCCTTTAACCCCTGCAGCGATCGGCGGGCTCTTTTCTGAGACTGTCAAGCCGCCTCTGCTCATCTTCCAAACCAATGACCATCTCAGACAGTTCCTTCCGTAAGCCTTTCGCAAATCGAATAGCCGTGGTTCGCTCGGATACTGATAACAGAAGAGATGAGTCGTTCAAACAAAGTATCTAATCGAAGTGAAGGCAACAAAGCAACTGTCTCCTACCACTGAGGTCGAGGCGGAGCTCCGACTCATAGGAAGCTGGTTCCACGCAATCCTTCTGTTCATCAATATGCGCTAGCCGAGCTTTCGCCTGGTCTAATTCAGCCCTGCGATAGTGATAATGCTCAGCTACAAAACGTCAGCACATAATTCGTCGCCCGACCTCATGGTTTGCAGTTCTAACTCTGCCATTTTCAGAGCATGCTCCGTGAGCTCCAACTTCGCTGTGAGCTCATCGCTGGCTACCTGATCACTAGGATAGAAATTTGTAAATCCTCTACTCGCTGTGCGCCATTCCCTCCCCCCCCCCCTCCCAACCATTAGTGGTGGTTTCAAACACCTCTTTCGTTTCCACAGAGTCCGTCTCTATATTAGCGATTCGCTCACGAAGCCGTGATAGTTCTTCTCCACGACGCCGACTCTCTGCCCTCTCATCTTGGAGTTCATTACTCGCAGTTGCAAGTGCTCCGCGGACCTATGTTCGTGGCGGGGTAGCACGCTGAATACGGATCAGCAAGATCTCACATCATAGCATGTGATAGGTGCCCAGACATTGTTCTCCAGATCTAGGAGGTCTGGTATACTGTTAGAACTCCCACTCGTCTTTCGGTCGTACAGTTCCCGTAGAAGATCCAGCTTCCGATTGAAAGTCGGAAGCTACAAGAGAAAGGCAGAATAATGTCAGCTGTGGGGTTCGAACCCACGCGGATTTCTCCACCAGAACTTGAGTCTGGCGCCTTAGACCACTCGGCCAAACTGACGATTAAAAACTTTGACCGCTATAACCCGAGCTCCAAAGAACTGTCCAGTCGTCACCTCACAAATCTCGATAGGGTGATCCCTTTGAGTGCCACTCGTACGAGTATCCAATCCGAAGGCAGAGCCTACTCGAGCCGTCCTCAGAGAGCGCCGAGCGATGTCCCGCTTCTCAGTACCTTCAGTAGCATGAACAACGACGTGAAATTACATCTGACAGTCACGTCCAAGACTCTCAACCAACCCTAATCACCTCTAGTGCGAGCTTCCCGCTGGCTATTCGTCAAGCCCTCCGCATCATTCAGCGGTGCCCACACTCGAACCTGAGTACAACCAGGGCAACTCGAAGGTGAGATCAAAAATGATTCGCCGATGATGATGATGATGATCCCGGAGCGGTCACAATAGACCTCTTTGCTCATACAGCTATCTCGGGCGCGACGGAGCCATACGTCAAGACGTCCACGACGACCTCCAAGGAGAATCGAATCTGCTCGTTGGGCCGGAGCGCCGAGCTGAGATAAAGAGGTGTCATCCACCATGAACCAATACAAGTAACAGGATTACGTGAGCGCATTAGCTTCAGCGACCAGAGGTAACGCATGTGAAAAGTCTCGCAAGAATTCCTGCGCTCGCTCCTCGCCTATTCTCTCGTTCAGCTCATGTGCAAACTTCACCGCCGCGTCATACTCCGGTGATTCTCTGCACGAAGCCTCTATATGCTCCCTCTCGAGCTCATGCTGAGGTCAACAACCAGGCGTTGATACACGGTTGCGTGCAAAGCTTTCACTTGGACATGGTTGCGAAGCAGGAAGGCATCAGACTCCTCTGAAACCTCCTCTTTTTCGTTGGGAATAACCACACGGAAGCGTACGGAGTGACCAAACCTCAGGCGGTCTCCATCACGCACGATCGTTTCCTCAACGACTTGACTGCCGTTCACAAAGACCCGATTCTCCAGAGCTGAGGCGATTGGCAAGCGAGTTCACTCACACGCTGCCCTAAGGATGCGAAGCCGTACCGAAGAACTACCATTATTGACTTGGAGGACCATCGTGCCCTTCTGTGCTCCACCGATGAGCTGGCACATGCTAGGATTCACACTTAATGCTTCATGGTGTAGTCTGATAGAGTCGTGTGGAGCGCTACCCACTGTTGATACCACTGAGGGATCGAGCTCATACCTGAATTCGCATCATCCCACATCCTGTATGAGTGAACTCCTGCGGACTCTTACGACACAAGACTGGACATAGCCGGATCTAGCGACAGATTCCTAAGTCATGAAGATGTTTGAGCGACGCGGGGCCTCAGTGATGGACTACTCAAGCTTAGGTAGAGAGCTGCTGGTATTCACTGATGTATATGGCGATGGGAGGGAAGGACTGAAATCGGAGAAAATGCCCGGACTCGACTCGTAATCTCAGAGTGCACAAGACCCTATTCGCACACTCGCGAGATTGAGAAAAAGCCCCCGAATGTGATAAAAGTGAAGGAGTGCTGTATCCTGAGTGACCCTGTATCACCCCTCGATAGAAGCTCGTAGTTCGTTCCGCATGTTGCCATATACAGACCCACCGAGCAAGCGCAACCTAAACGATGATAATCGATCCATTATCACCAGCTCGCTAGCCCACATATCTCCTGCGTTCTCAAGTTTCTCGGCAAGTACTTCCTGCTCGGCCAAATCTGACCAAACACAGGCCATTTAACGCTACTAGCGACTGACACGCTGATGACGCGGCCGAATGCAGAAATACGACCTCTAGGGGCAATTCAGAGTGGGATGATCTCATTATGAGACCGTCTCATGAGCACACTATTTTTTTCGGGGGTATGAGAGTGTGATTCTCATACCCATGAGAGAAATCTGGACAATATATTCAACAGTCTTCTGGGACTACTTTGAGGCGTCCAGCCTCGCAACAATGAGCACGGCTTCTCCGAAGATGCACTACCTCCGCGCGTCGAGGCCCGCTTTATTTCCTTTCTCGTCTCTCTGATTTTAGCCTCGAGTTCGTTCATCTGGCGTGACTTCTCGGAACCCCAACAGACCCGCACCCCATTCACCTCATTAGCATGACTGACTGAGCCACACACGTGTATAGACCTAGTCGGACGCGTTCCCACTGCTCTCGCGCGCTCGACTAGCTTCAAGGTTGACAAAGTATCGGGTAAGCAGCTTGTAGTGGGTCCGACACAAGCGATCATGGCTGTCCCTGAGAGGCATCCACTCCCCATTGGTCAGTCTTGTTCGCGATGACACAACTCTACCGTTGTGTTCACAGATATATCACATTCGAACTTACGAGCGTTCCCCTCGAAAGCCTCCCGCAGCAGCAGTGTTAGTTTCGAATCCCTGTACGGGACATGTATCTTCTCCGCCTCTCCAGCATGACCACGAGCGAGACGCTCTGATTTGGCTGCTAGTCTCGTAATGCACAAGGCGAACTGGTGTAGGCCTTTGTTGACCATCACACCCTGCTGCGTAATGCCGAGGCGCCCTGACGATCTTAACCCTACTTCTCGTCGATGTCGTCCCATCGAGACGGGAGATGGTCTCATCCGCTCGCTCCCAGCAAGGTCAACCAGTTGCAGCTTAGAGCTCATTACCGCGTCTATGGGACGATCCTTTCTGGCCACGCACAATACAGTCACCACCTTTTCCCCCGCTGCGCTCATTTGATTCCAAGTATTGTACCACGTGTAATGTAGCTATAGTGTGCGTGAGAGAAGACCGGTCGCTCAGAGATCTGCACGCCAAGGCTCGCGCTTGCATTCCATACCTCAGCAGCTCAACAATCTGCCTCACGGGTACGATGATAAAACTCGCTAGAGCGCAGGGACACCCACTTCGTCTGCTGACTCCACAGTCTTGAGTGTGAGTCCTGTGACATATACGCCGATCGTTGGGTGCACATGAACGTCCAATATGCGCTTTCTCGAGTTTGGGTGACTCCTTTCCGCTGGCTCTGGGCGGAGCGCCAGTAAGTCCTCCAGATGGTCGTGGAATATCTCCAAATAAGAAAAGTACACCTCGAAACGCGTCGACCCAGCGGACTGTAAGAGCAGGAAAAGTTCTGAGAACAATGAGGACCATTTCGTTCTCTAACTATGATGTGCTCCTTGATGCATAAGACTCGGAGGATTCGATCTGGGTATAACCTAGTGATTTTCGACGACAATCATTGTTCCTGCGTTTCTTTAGTGTACGCTGGAGGTACTACTTAGATCCTGAGCTCAGCGAACGTGGAAAATGACACTGCTCACCTGATGCTGCTCTTGGTATGATTCCGGGGCATTCCAGACGGCTACCCGATTCAATCACGCCAGCTCCCAACATCGTATAGGTTTTACCCGATCCTGTCTGGCCGTACCTGCTCAAGGGCGTTCGGCAGAGCCCGCCAACCGCTCGGAGCCCTGGAACTCACGCGAGCAGGCAAGCTGAGTATCCTCGTATAACATCTTGGACGAGCGACATAGCGATGTGATCAAACACATATTTTTGCCTCACATCACGAGAATCTGCACATCAAAAGTGCCGTCCAGGAATGTGCCGGTAGCACCCACGTTGTGTGCCCTGCTTTTCTGAATCATCAATCACTAAGTCCGCTTCCCATGTTGAGGCTTTACCGTGCGCATCAACGGTTTGCAAGGACGAACTATTGACTAATCTCACGACGGTAAGTTCGTTCGCGTGCTCCTCCTTCAACGCAGGAGGACGGACCCGAACGGCCACCTGATAACCCACAAGTTGATACTGATAGTACATAGGGTCACATGCAGCGACGAGTGTCGTGAAAAAAAAGGAATAGCACAGCACGAGAGAGTGCACAGTCCACGGTCAGAAAGCAAGATTCGAACTTACCTCCACTTGACGAGTCTCCGCAGAGGACAGCCCTGGCATTGGGGATGAACTCAAATCGACTAAGAGTGTCATTATATCACCCGGAACGTGCAAGCAGCCAGATCAGAAAAACATAACGAAACCTATCGTGTTCAGTCTCGCTCTAGAGCCGAAACTCCCACCCTACTGTACCGACACTCACAACACGACGCCGCAATAAAGGTAAGTTGAGAGACAAATTCTTGGTTCAATTTTCATTGCGCTACTGCTACTTCCATATGCCTATAGTGTATTACATCAAATAAAACAGAAATCACAGACAAGTCATCGTAACTATAGAGCAAAGTACAGCACTAGGAATCAATCATCCGGCTCGAGATGTGAGGTCGGCACCCAACCAGCCTGCCCGTCCACTCCGGTCACGTTAGTCCAATCCGGACGACTTTCATTCACCTGATACGTTTGTGGTAGGCTCGCGCTACGTAGATCCAAAGACACACGCTAGTAGGTAGGGTGCACAGTCTCACCTCCACTCGGTCTCCAGCCTTGATGGACAGCTCGATCACATCCTCAGCAACGAAGTCGTTGGTGACCCGCATGTAGCGTGACCCCTGCAGAGAACCGCGATCCTTCGATATGCGCCCGGCTACTGTAGGTTCATCAGTACAGTGCTCAACCATTTCCTCTACGACATCAGCTGTACAATCCAAAATTAGGGCACTACCTTGTTGAGGCCTGGGCTGCGGGTGGATCCAGAGCTTCTCTCAGTGGAGGCGCTCTTAACACGTCGTGATCCTCGAACGTCCTCCGGCTCCATTGAACTGTGATGCACGGCAACTACTCCATGGACGATTCGCTCTGGAGGTCGTAGAGTAACTGAGAGGGACTCATCCCCGTGGTTCAACCGAATCAACTATGGTTTCCTCATACACAGCTCTAACACATGTCTGAGCGGCTCCGCAAGGGCTGCCGTTGATCCGAATTCGAATGAACGAGCAACGGAGAACTTGCTGAACGTTCATGCGCCAGAACAGTAACACGTACACCACCTTCATCCACGTCAGGCATTGGCCTCCCGTTAGCGAGAACCTCCCCATGAGGTTGCCTATCATGGTCAACGCTGATCAACGGTGTCGATGTTTGAGCTGCGACATACCATCATCTCAAAAACATGACAGATGCCTTCCTACCAGATATGTCCTGTCGCGGAGCAACTATGGGGGCTGCTACCCTCTGAGGCCCATCATCATCATCGACGACAGGGATCTTCGGACGCTCTCTGGGCTTCCTTGGCAAGTCCATCGGCAGTGCCCTCAGCCCAGGTCCATCTTCAAGAAGGTCAGCTTGACCTCTCCCATAGAAACCGGCAGCTTCAAGGCTTCGCACTGGCCGACTGGAGACCTGCAAAGCATCGCGTCCTCCGAGCTCAGTAGCATTCCATACACACCCGAGTCCTGCGTTCATCAGGCCGCCTTGCTAGCGCATAGTCGTCCAACGCTCCGTATGCCGCCGCAGTTCGAGGAGACTGACGCTGTGATTGGCCCCGTTCCAAGGCCTCCATAATCTCATTCTTCGCGGTTGCCACTTCATCGGCAATGAACGCCCTCAGCCCCTGAGGCGAGCACCATGGATTTAGCCATCAGACATCAGCTCCTCCATGGAATCAGATGATGCTCGTTCCCGCTGCTACCTCCAAACGGTAGTCCAAATGACCTTTCAATCTGGCCACGATCTGGTCTTCCAGTTCCGCCATCTCGCGTGGACTAATCCGTGGCGGCGTCCCATGGCGCTGCTGCTTGCCGGGATACATAACGTTAGGGGAGGTGCAACAAGGAGAACTCTCGTGTTCCGACCTGGATAGCTCTCAAACTCAACACGAGGTGGCACCGGGCCGAAACCATCATACCCGTAGCTTTAATTCCCGCTGGCTTCTCGGTATTGAGAATAACTCAAGGCCAGTGAGAGGGGATGAAGCCTGCAGACACTAGTTCAGCAAATTCAACCTCTCGATCCCCCCCGACCAAGCCGTTTGCATGAAGCTGCTTGAGCAGGCGAGACTGCAACCAAATCTGGACCTCAGCACATGCTTTGATGAGAACTGACCTGAAACTCCAGAGATGCTATATCACAGCAGTGAACGCTCAGTACGATCTCTTCGTGATCAGTGAGGTTCGCAATGAGGCTTGAGGAATGAGGTTCGCAACTCTAGTCCGGAAGTGACTCTGGTACCATTGATTTTGTAGCAGCACACGTAACTATCGATGACAACAATACCCAATACCTTATGCGGCGCCGGAAAATGCTCATATCGTTATAGGCATGCCAGAAGATCACGAAGAATGTACTACCCTAACTTCAGAGGAGAGCCGAGGATTGGTATTTTCAGGAGCGTAACAGCTCATGAGCATGCACATCTACGGCGTAACATACGTTAACTGCTCAGCGCAGTGTTGAAGCTGGAATTCTCCTTCCGAGCACCATCATGGGTGGTGCACGCGTCATCCACTGATTCGAGATGACCCGTCATGAGACTCGAAGCGATCCAAAACCGTTAGCCATTGAGAGGTCCAGGTTCAGTAGCACAGAGAATGGGACCGACCCGAATCTTTTGAGGAATGCCCATAGAAATTATAGGAATACAGGAATGAGAACCAATGAAATTCTTCTAAGTTGGAAGTTCTAACTATTTAGTATACTTTTATATTGCGCAGAAGTTCACATGGCGAGCGCTATTTTTCGACTTTTCGACTTGAGGTAACAAATAGCGTAGCAGTGGATCGGTGATGATGCGTACTGTCTAGTGAAGGTCACCGAATCATTACGCACTGTGTTCTATACTGCGAAGTTAAGCTCACGGAAAAGAGCTCCGGGTAGACTCGGACAACGGCAGCTCCGAGAGCACATATGGTCGCTCGAGCGGTTTTCTTCCAATGGCCACTCAAGAAATACTACGCTTGACAATTCTCTGCGTTTTTGCAGTCAAACGATCTGACCTATAGGGTGAGTACTGAACGGCCGTACCAAGAGAGGGGGTTGTGTGGTGAGACAATCATGCCATGTGGTTACTGCACAGATCCCTCCTCAAAATCTGCATTGCTACTTCACTGATGAGCGTTAGAGGCTGTTCAGAAGTATTCTTTAACGGAAGAATATCGTCCGCGACTTACCCATTCCGACGATTCGTCTCCGGAATGTGTGAATGGGCAAAGGACCATGTGATAAATTATATTGAATGTCACTCATACGATGGAAGGATTCACTGCGAGAAGGCGTATTTCGTGATGCTCACAGCACTATGAGATTTGCTTAGGTAGACGTGTAAGTACTCGTTGGAGCATGTCTGTTCTCATGAGCTTCTTAAAGAGTGAACCCCTCCTCACACAATTCTCATGCAGGTTTCATTCGTGCGTAATGTCGGTCTTTCCATCCGATTTGGTCGACAGGTGCGGTGGGCGGCACCGGCTCCGAGACCTCTCACGAGTATTGCATCGCAAACTCCGGGCGGATCCCTCTATGCCAATTCTCTGTGACTCGCAAGCAGATAACTACGTTGATTGGTTACTGGCCACCGTTCGCGTTGGGTCTACATTCGGCAAAACTGCGCGCTCGGGCATGGATGCTCTTCCAACGCAGCGACATCGCAACCGCTGGGTTCACCTGCAATTCGAGGCTTGCGACGAGCTCGCTCTATCCCCCGAGTTTATTCTGCCTTATATTCATGGTCTCTGTTTGGTCTTGTCTGGGATCCCATTGCCACCGAACTCTCCAGTGGGAAGTTTCAAGTCACTGGTGAATACTCCTGTGAGAAGTCCGAGGTGCTATGCTATCTCGTCTCCTCACTCGAGTCGATCGTTATCCTCATGTGCCACGCCGGTCGTGCGTAGACCGAGAAAAGTCACTGCTGCTCATGAGATCTCTCGTGACAGCTTTGATGTTGCGACTCTTGATATGTGATCCTCTCTGTTCCATTGTTGCCTCGATATGAGGCCTTTGTATCGATACCATTGTAGATATTCCGTGGTTCCGTGAAGTGATCATGGGCTCCCACGCGGACATATCCCTGATAATAGTTAAAATTTCGATCAACACCTCAGCCTGCATTAAAGTCGGTATTTTTCAACCTTAGTAGTCCTGTTGACATAATGTCACATTGTGCTACATAGATGATGTGACATCTACTGACATGTGTTATTTCGTGTTCACAAGTGTACAATTATATCCTTGATCTCTGGTTGAAGGTGGGCGACGAAAGTGGGCTTAGACCGGCGAGCCAGCCATGGCTGTGCGCGCGGTGTG